TGTGGAGGGGCATAGGTGGGGAGGAAGGGGTTGGGGGAATAGTGGGGGCTGCTCGTGAAAATGGCCTGGGGAAGGTGGGGGGGGCTGCTGGAGTGGTTGGGGGGTGTAGATTGGGGGGCTGCTGGGAGAAGGGGCCGGGGGGGGTAGGAAGCTGCAGGGGGTGGGCAGAGGGTTGGGAGGGGGGGTTGTGGGTGAGGCAGGGGGCTGAGCTGAACAACAGATGGAAGAAGAAAGTTTCTTGCAATAAGGAGACCAGGGAAAACAAAGGAGCTGGGGGGGAGGGGGAAGCCAGTCTACGGGAGGGGGGCTCAGCAGTTGGTCTTCATGGGAAAGGCTCCCCTCCCTCTGGGTGTCCCCTGGCCCTCTGGGGCCTGATTTGGACACTGGGGCAGAAAGGAGGAGCTGGGGCCCAAAGCTGCCTCCTGAGGGGGTTTTAGACCATGGGTCCCTTCACCCTGCGGGTTGTATCTGAAATCACTCCCCAGCCCCTGAAATCTGCAGGGGAGAACACTTTTCTGGGGGGCAGGGCTGGGCCTGGGCCCCAGGCCGTGGATTTGGGGCTTTGCCAGGAACAGAACAGTACCTGTGAAGGTCTCTCCCCCCACTGCCCTCCCTGCTGGAGGAGCTGGCATTTGACCCTCTTTCCCCACCCTGGCTTTATGTTGCTCCGGCTGCTCTCACTTTCTTGTCCTTCGGGCTGCCCCGTCCAGCAGCCAGGGTGGGACTGAGAACAGCCTCCCTTCCCCGAGCGCTCCAAACTCTGGCCAGCCATACTTCTGGCCTGGGCTCCCAGACAATGCCGCCGTGCAGCCCATTGTGTGGGCGTCTGGTCTGCAGAGAAAACAGCTTCTTTTGATTGTGAGCGGAGCCCAGAGGGGGAGACGGCTGCTCCGTCAGTTTCCTTCCCTTCCCCTGGAGTCCTGCACTGCATGCACGCCCTCCCCCCACAGAAATATTTTTACTCTGGCATTGATGTGCTTGCCAGGATTTTTCCTGACTGAAGCAGTTTCAGTTCAGAGCCACTGATCTTTGCAGAAGCGGGGGCTCCTCTAGATCAGTGGTTCTCAACCTGGGCCCCCCTGGGAGGGGCCGTGAGCAGGTTTCGGGGGGCTGCCCAGGGCAGAAAACCAAAGCCCCACCACCTATGACTTTTCTATGCAGAAAAACAGTTGTGGCACGGGTGGGCCATGGAGTTTTTCTAGCATGATTTGACGGGGGTCTTGGAAAGAAAAAGGCTGAGAACCCCTGCTCTAAATCCTTCCCCTCTCTTGCATGCAGGGGATGGGTGCCCCTTAAATCACAGCTGTTCCCAGACTTTGCACGGTGACCCTCACATGTCACACACTGAGCAATTCGGGTCCAAGGAGAGGCGTCCTGCCTTTCTCTCTCCCTCCCTCTCCACCGCCAGCTCCACAACGGCCACTCTCAATTCACAGGCTTGGTGACACACTCGCCGGGTCCTCCGCTGGAGTTTATTGGGGAACTCCGCTTCAAAGGGGGTTTGCGTTGCCTGGGGGCGGACTCTTGAGAGCACCAAGGTCCGTGGGTAAAGTGAACTCTGGAATGGAGGGAGTTTGGAGGAGATGTTCCATTTGCACCAAAACGCAGAATTCCCTTCGCTGAGTTGCAAACGGTCCCCTCTGTTTCCATCGAGCCGGGCTTATGGGCCTCTTGGTTGGGTTTCCCTTCTGCCTACTTTTCAGATCAAAATTCCTAGTGTATTTGTAAATGTCCGTCTGTCTCAGATGTGGCAGTCTATGATCCTTCTCCGGCCCCCATCACCACAGTAGCAATCATTAATGTCTTCATCCCCCAACTCCCCTGGAGGGAAGGCAGCGCTGTGGTCCCCATTCAACAGGGAACTGGGGCATAGAAGCTAAATGGCTTTTTGCAGGGGGGAGGGGTGTGTTGGCAGAGCAGGGAATTGAATCCAGGTCTCCAAGTCCTAGGCTAGCCTCTAACCATGGGACGCACCATCCTGCCCCGTTAAACTAATTACTAGTTAACATTTATCTTGCAATAGCATCTAGAAGCCCCACTGTCCTAGGTGCTGCACAGACACAGCATAAGGGAGAGTCCTTGCACCAAAGAGCTTACGGTATAAATAGACAAGACAACAGGGGAGGGAAACTGAGGCACGGAGCTGAGACATGACTGGCCCAAGGCTATGCAGCAGATCAGAGCACTGGACTGGGAACCAGCACTGCCGCTATCTACTAGATCCTTGGAAACTGTCAATCTCTCTCTAGCCACAGGTCTGCTCCCTGGGGTGATCCCAGTCCAGCGTAGACGGGGGGCCTTGGAATCTTGCATCACTCGGCTCATGGATTTTTATGCCCCTCGTGTTTAAAATGCTGCTTAGCTCCCCCTCGCCGCTTGTCCCCGATCAGAACCAGCCTGCTCATTGAAAGCCCTCTGATTTTCCAAGTGTTGGACGGGGGGGCCAGGAAGCTGGGTTACACCCCGGGTTGACTGGATTTGCTGGGTGCCTCTGCCTGACTCTGCTAGCTTCCTCCTGACCCTGCCTCTTTGGTTCTGCAGAACACAAGGTGATCATTGTTGGCCTGGACAATGCAGGGAAGACCACCATCCTCTACCAGTTGTGAGTATTCCCATCCCTTCATCTCCCATTCAGAGTCAAACTGCCAGCCAGATGGTTGAGGGGGGAGATGATGTATCCCTGCCCAACCCCCCTGCTGCAGAGCCTCCCCCAGCAGGCAGCAAATGGTCCTAGCAAACAAAGATGCCTGCATCCTATCTTCACATTCCAGAAGGCAACGGGGGTTAGACTGAAATCAGCAAGGGGGGGCAGGGTTCCACTGTTTCATTTAAACGAAGGTGGCTAAAAGCAGCATTGTTCTTCTGCATTGCAAAGTTTCAAAGCTGTATTCAGTCAATGTTCAGTTGTAAACTTTTGAAAGAACCGAACGTTTTGTTCAGCGTTCCAAACATCCTCGGAGGTTCTACTGTAGACAAGACAAAGGGTGGGAGGAGGGGGAATATTACAGGTGGGAAACTGAGTCAGAGAGATACTGAGTCAGTTGCCCAAGAGTCTGTGTCAGAGCAAGGAATTAAACCCAGGTCTCTAGGATCCCCATCCAGCGCCTTAACCACAAGGCCATCCTGGCTCCATGCTCATTTGCTTCTTGGTAAGCACCTGGCGTGCCCCATTCTAGGGGGCAAGGGAGGGTCTGGTGCTGGGTTATGCCGGGATGGCTCTGATGCCTGGCCTGTGCCTCCCACAGCCTCATGAACGAGGTGGTGCACACCTCACCCACCATCGGCAGCAACGTGGAGGAGATCATCTTGAGGAAGACCCACTTCCTGATGTGGGACATCGGGGGGCAGGAGACGCTGCGGTCCACGTGGAACACGTACTACTCCAACACGGAGGTAAGGGGCCGGGTGGGAGGAGCAGCACCATCTCGCTCCCCTCCCGGGCTAGCTGCGCTCGCCCTGTGATGCTCGCCTGGGCTTGATTTGCTTGGCAGATTGGAGAAGCTGGTGGATTTTCTTGTAGTTACAGTGGAAGGGAGAAGCTGATTGGCCATGATGGCTGCCAGTTGTGTGCGCAGATGCTCCTCAGCCCCGACCCACAGCCCGCCCTGCTACTCCAGCGCTGGGACCCCGGCATGCAGCTCTGCCGATGCCCCTTCATCCTGACCCGCAGCTCCCTGCTATGTCAGTGTTAGGATAGCCTCCCGCACCTCAACCGATGCAGAGCAATCCCGACCCACCCCTTTCCGTTGTATTCTTGGGGACCCCCCAGCCCTGCCAGTGCGCCTCGGTCCTGACAGGCAGCCCCCCGGCGACTCTAGTCCTTGATCCAAACACGATTCTGCTGATGCACCTGCGTACTAGTGCCCCCTCTCCTGTTATTCCAACCCTTGGGCTCCGTGTCGCTCTGCCATAACCAAGCGGTTCCACGTGCTACCCTCGGAGCAAGGGGCTAGCTGGCAGCCTCCCTCGCTTTCTCTGCCATGTCACAGCCCAGTGTCCGGGATTCCCCTGCTTTGGGGTGTGAGCACCCGGCAGCAGCTGTGTCTGCTCCAAGAGGTGCCCCGGAGCTAGCTGCTGGAGCAGGGATGAGTGGCCTCACGCAGACCGGCGCTGTTAGATTCCCACTGGGAAAGCTGATGTGATCAGGTTCTGTTGCTATTTCAGACTCTTACACTTGTATTGCAGCGTCAGATGGGATTTTCATAGGCGCCCGAATCCCCTTGGGTTTGAGTTCCTAATTCCCCACGGCTCCTCTGGCAACCCCAGTTTAGCGCTTGATCCTGCATAGCAATGCTTACTCGAGCGATCACTTCCATTGACGTTAATGGGGCTCCTTGGGAGTAAAGGTGGCAGGGTCGGACCCTTCCTTTGTAACTTGACGTTGAATATCGCGCCGCTCCTTTAAGGAGAATGGAGCGGGTGGCTTCGGAGAGTGAACAGATTTTTACTAGGGCAGGGCAGGAAGCAGGTGGGAATTTGGGGGGAAGGATCCAGAGGAGGTGCCGCTTCTCTAAACAGGGTGGGGGTTTTCCCCTTTTGTCCCAGCTTGTTTGGAATGGGATTAAAATACTGTCCCGGAGGGAAGAGCGCCCTGGCAAAGATCCCCAGCTGTTTTGGCAGCGCAGAGAGGGGCAGGGATCCGAGTTCAAACACGTCCTTTGTCCTTCCTGCCTGGCCAGCATTCCTGACATAACTCGAGCTGGAATTTCTCTCCCGCTGCCGTCCGTATTTTGTTTCGCGATTCAGAACAGGTCTTGCCCGAGCAGCAAGAGCGCAAGATTCCTGTTAACTTTCCACCCGCTCCAAAGCCCCGAGCCAGTCGAGTTTGGCTGTGACATTACAGTGAATTATTTGTACTGGGGTAGCACCTAGGACCCTATGCGCTAGGCGCTGTACAGCCACAGAACAAACGTTGGCTTGGCCATTAATGAATAGCTCCAGGGGGGAGTCAGTGTCTCTCCTGGTTACCATGGAAAGTTAGTCCGAGGGGAGCTCTTAATTATTTGTATTCCAGTAGGGGCTAGAGGGGCCAATTAAGATTGGGGCATCATTGTGCTAGGTGCTGTACATGTACATAATGGGACAGTCCTTGCCCTGATGAGCTGTAATGTACAGACAGGCCAATCTTGGGAGAAAGAATTATTCTCCACAGATGGGGAAACTGAGGCACAGAATGGCTGCGACTTGGCCAGGGTCACCCAGGGCATCTGCGGCAGAGGCAGGAATTGACCCCAGGTTTCCCAAGTCCCAGCCCAAGGCCACCCTTCCTGTCAAATGGTTGTTTCCCTTCCTTGGGGTCGCTGGTGCTGTGCCAGTTCTCCAGTCCTCCGCAGAGCTTCCCAGGCTAGACGCAAGCTGAATTTCAGATGTCAAATAGCAGCAGACCGTGTTTGTGCAGCACCTAGCGCAGCAGGGTCTGGATCCACCCGAGCTGGCTCCTGCTCCACCTGCAGCTCTTGAGCCAGGCCTCAGATGTTAGCCCAGGACCGGGGTGTTTGATCGACATCTGCTCTTTCCATCCCCCCCCAGTTTGTCATCCTGGTGATCGACAGCACCGACCGCGAGCGGCTGACGGTGACGAAAGAGGAGCTGTACAAGATGCTGGCCCACGAGGTATGTTAGCACCAGGGTCGCCCTTCGTGGCCACGGCCTCATGTCCAGAGTAAAGCCGCTTTAGTCTAGTGAGTTGGAGGCAGATCCCTGAGCGATGTTGCTGGGAACTTTGCGACGCTCCATCCCCTTGAAGAGGGCCTGATGCATTAGCGGCAAGGTACCCAGCTGTTTCAGGCACAAGGCCCCAGCCATCTCTAGCGTAGGCGCCGACTCCGTGGGTACTCCGGGGCTGGAACACCCCCCAGCAGCGCTCCCCCTCTTCCCCAAGCACGCCGTGTGCCCGCTTTTTCCCCCTGGCTCCCAGCGCTTGCCGCCACGGAACAGCTGATGGATCGTAAAGCAGCTCCTCGCCTTCCTTCAGCTGCTGAGCGTCACGCGAAACAAGTTTATCGAGTCTCAGTCCAGTTCTGACTGGCGTCCCATTCAGAATGGGGTTTAAGGAGTGTTCTGGCTTATTACAGTAGCACCGGGAGGCCCCAGCTGAGATCAGGGCCCCTGTGCTGACGAGGTCACAATCTAAATAGCCACAGGGTGGAAGGGGAAACCGAGGAAGTGACTTGCACAGTGTCACGTAGCAGCTCAGTGGCGGAGGCGGGAACAGCACCATCAGGCTGGGGGATGTTCGCATGGGGGGGAGCTGAATGGAGAGGGGAGAAGGTTAATGGTGGGATCTCTCTCCCCAGGACCTGCAGAACGCGGCGGTCTTGATATTTGCCAACAAGCAGGATGTAAAGAACTCCATGACTACCTCTGAGATCTCCAAGTTCCTAACCCTCAGCTCCATCAAGGACCACCCATGGCACATCCAGGGCTGCTGCGCCCTCACGGGAGAGGGGTGAGTGCACCACAGAGTAAACTAAGCGGTCCCTTTTGGTGCCTAAGTGTCCTGTGGAACTCTCTCCCACAAGACAGAAGTGAGGCAGAGCTTAATGGCATTCAGCAAAAGGTTAGGGGTACGGCTGGCTGAAAATTTTCTGTCTAAACTGTTCTTTGGTGGAGAACTGGATTTTTGCTTAAAGGATACTTGTTGTGAAAAGTGTTTGCTTTATGCCTGAAAGCCAAAATACTTGAACTTGGAAATGCTGTCCCGGTTGGAAATGCTGTCATTCAGTTGCTTCCTGTCCCCAGTCTCCTCTATGGGTCAGGTTCCCAGGTGGACTACATCTTCCATGATGCACCATGGCCACGGAATCTTATGATGCAAGAGGGGAGCCTGTGGTGCATCATGGGAAATGTAGTCTGAGCTGGAACCTTGTTGATAGAAGTGAATGAGAGCATGAGGCTTCTGAACTACAACTCCCATGAGGCACCTGGGTGGCGTTTCCAAATTGAAGTATTTTGCTATTTGAATTGCTGCTGAAAATGTACTTGTCGTGGGGAGAAACCCCAGAACCAGCTCTAGGTGGAGACATACAGATAATCAGCACATCTGCTGTCTTGTTAGGCTGGGTAGGACTATCTAAGGGCAAGAACCCTCCTGTGCCAAGCCTGGAGCCACTTTCTTCCATAATTGTTTGCTGTGGGGTTCCTTGTAGCTTCCAGTTCTGACCACTGTTACAAGACGGGAGACTGAGCTAGACGGACAGCATGGCAGTTCCTGTGGGCTCCCTTCTTCCCTTGCTTGGCACGGGCGTTTGGGGGCACCTTAGCTGGGGAAGTGCTTGGCTTGTGGATACTCATGCAATGATCTACGCTGGCTCTATTGGGGGTCGCGCTGTCCTCTCCGCAGATCAGTAGCACTGAGTCTGGGAAAGAATCCAATAGAAGGTCAGGTGATTCCTGTAACTGACGAACTGCCAGGGCCCGGCACAGCTGGTGTTGGAGGGGAGGTTCTGGCAGCACAGAGGTAGGCAGGGTTCCCACACATACAGCCCGGGCAGATGCACATCCCAGCCCTGACTGACGTTTAAATGTTCCAGCCACCTCTAAGTGTCTGTTGTGTGCAACTGGCACCCTTTACCTGTGAGGCGCTGGGTGTAGTGGTTAGAGCAGGGGACTGAACTGGGATTCCAGCGATCATCTGTTGTGAGGGGAGTGGGGTCTGGTGGTTAATGTAGAGGACTGGGAGTCAGGACTCCTGGGTTCCATTTCCATACTGGGTGCTCCCTCAGCTCTGTCCCTGAGTTAGTGTGACTGTGTGCAAGGCACTTTACCTCTGACTCAGTTTCTCCATCAGTAAAGTGGGAGCCGCTCCTAGGAGTTCATCACTTCATTTTTTCCAAACTCTCTGAACACCTCAAACAAAAGGCAAAAGCCTCGTCTCTGCCCCAGGGCGCTCAGGTAGTGCCGTGACTCACGCAGCCAGAATCCTTCCAGCACCAGCTGCGCTGGCTTCATGTGAGCAGCCTGGGAATAGATGCCAGGAGGCATGACGGGTGTTTGCTCAGTTTGCGGACGCACGCTCTGGGGGCAGGTGCGCCTGTCTGGGTCGCGTCAGGCTGAGTAGCTGGGGCTGGGTTAACCAATGACTCACTGCCCAGATGAAACTTAATCCACCTTGTCTCTAGCCCCTTGTCTCACCTCCCAGCCTGTAAAGGGGCCCTGCCTTTCTCTGTTCTCCTCAAGGCCTTTCGATAGCGGGAGGCTGACTCAGCTGTGATTGTGGGATAATCAGGGACTTCTCAGCCTCTGGGAATCGGTGTCTCCCCCAAAGAGGAGCCTGCTCGTATGCACAGTCTGCTGCTGTTTGCTTTGCCGAGAGCTTTGCCAATGATAAGGACACCCTGCTACTTGCATTGTATTGAAAGAGGCAGCGCAATCTAGTGGTTAGAGCAAGAGGGGGCTGAGTTAGGATCTATGGGTTCTGCTTTCAGCTTTGGGGGAGGCAGTGCAATGTAACAGTTACAGCTGGGAGTGGGGTTCTGCATCTGCCTTTGCGAGGGGAGTGGGATCCAGTGGTTAGAGCAGGGGGGCTGGCAGCCAGGTTTCCTGGGTTCTCTTCCCAGCTCTGCCCCGACTTGCTGAGCAACGCAGGCCAATCACATCCTTGCCTCAGTTTCCCCATTGTGTAACGCTCTGGCAGGTGGTATCAGTGCAGAGCGTGGTTATTAATGCGCGTTCTCTCCCCATTCATACAGCCTGCCAGCTGGCTTGGAGTGGATGAAGTCTCGAGTAGCAGCCAACTGACACGTCTGGCCAGACATATGACGGAACAGTGCAAAGCTCTCAAGCATCTTATTTATTTTTTTATACATGTGAGTTTCAGCCTGGACTTTCCTTCTAAAGCAGCTGAAGCTGGGATTTTGTACGGACAGTGTATTTCCGAGCCCGGGTCAGCGTGGGAGCTGGTCCCTCCTGGATTGCATGTCCGGAAGAAATCTGGATCATATCTGCTGGGTGGTGGGTCCGTTCTGGATCGTGTCTCTGAGGGGAATCGGTTCTGGGTCATCTCTCTTCTGGATCACATCCGCAGAGAGGGAAACCAATAGGAAGAAATCTCTGCTCCAGGCCTGCACTTAAGTAAAAGCTGGAACAAAGAAGCCTGGAGCATGGAAATTTTACGCACACGCAGGCCCAGTGCAGCTTCCAGCAGATTTACCAATAAGCTATGAAAGAAGAACCTCACCCTCCGGAGTCCGGTTAACAGGAAATGCCTTAGGTCTTCAGATGGGGATTGGGGATAAACTTTGCTAGAGGGCTGGGGAGGGGGGTAATAACCTTTAAACCCCGGTGCCCCTCTGCGCTGCCCATGCTCTTCTCCAAACTCGGGTGGTGTTCGGGGTGAGGATCTGAAACCTTCGGGACACTGACGTTTCCCAGGATTTGCTCTGCGATCATCCCTGGGTTGCTCAGCGACGCATCGACCAGCGCGCACTGGATGTTTCCTACCATTGGTGCTTTCCCTTGGCCCGTCTGATCGAGGCCTTGACCATCTTGTATTTTATATGTTTTAACGCAAGCAGGAAAGGGCCGGCTCCATGGCTCTATTCCTGAGTATTTCTCTCTTCTGCCACGGCCCCGGAGCAAGGACACAGATCTGGATTCAGACCCCTCCTCCAGCACCGTTGGAGGGCAGGGATTCAGTGAGGGTGGGGAAATACGCATGGGTGGGAAGAGCTGCCCCGGGGAGCAAATTTCCCCCTTCACGACGGTTCATTCCCACCTCTTCCACCAGGAGGCGCTAACGGGTCAGGCCCAGCAGGGCCAGATCCAATGCTGCTCGATCTGTGTGGGACCTGGCATCAGGACCAAATCCAAACCCTGGATCCGGACTCAGGGATGTTTGGGTCTGACCTATCCAGCCCGTGTCCCATTTCTACTGAAGATCGAGTCTCACTCCGGAGGCAGCAGGAGCTGACGGTCAGGGAGACCCGCCTGGGTTCTGCTCTTGCAGACTTGCGGGGAAAGACTTAGCTCTTCTGTACCTCAGTTTACCCTGTTGGCAAGTGCCTGCCTTTGTAGAGTGACCTGGAATCCCTGGATGTGAAGGATGCTGGATAAGCACAAAGGACTTGGGGGCGGGGTCACTGTCAGGGGTTCCACTGTTCTCCGGTGCAATGCTCTAAACTGGTGTGACCCCAAAACCCACTGGAAAGGTGCCCGTTGAATCCATTGGGCTCTGGATCAGCCCCTTAACGAATCTTCTTCAGTTAAGTGCTTTTAACGAATTAAACTTGTCCCATGAATTTGCATTTGCACAGGCCCCCTGCCAGGCTCAGAGGAGCGGGACAGCACGTCACAGCTTCCTGCCTTGGGCTCCGATGGGGTTTTTACCATTTCTGGGATGATCCATTTGACTCTCCAGTTCTGTATTTTTTATAAAACTCGTGTCTTGTATTTTATACCTGATTAAAGGCTCCGCTATTTAATTTTTTGCACGATCGGGGTCTTGTCTTTTATTAGCTTTTCCATCCTTGTGGATAAGGCACTGGGCTGCGATCCAGGAGATTTGGGTTTAATTCTTAGCTCTGCCGCAGACTGCCTGAGAGATCTTGGGCAAGTCAGTTAGGCCCAGATCCTAAAAGGAGTTTAGGCGCCTAACTTCCTTGGATTCAATTGGAGTTAGGTGCCTAAATATCTTTGAAGATCTGGACCTCAGTTCCTCCATCTGTGAAATGGGTATAAAAAACCCTTCCTCCAACTTGATCCCTGTGTGTCTATTTGTTTTCTTTTTATATTGTGCTCATCACAATGACATCGGAGCCCTTTCCAGTAGTGCATTAAGCAACATGACTAACGTCTGTCACGTGTTTTGTTCTTTCATCCGCTCCCCATGGGGGGAGAAGTGTGTGTGTGCAATGGAGTGTTTTATTTTGGAAAATTTTTATGAATAAATCTGTGCCTGTTGCTCAGTTTTTATGTTGCAGACGGGCAGGTCAAAGAAATGCACCTGGCACTTCGAGTGGAAGGTGAGGGAGTTAATTTCCTGACGGGGGAGCTCATTTCAGTCTAGGGAAAGCTGGCCCCTGCCTTATTGATATTTAGCTCTCTAGGGTGGGAGCCTGTTTTACTATACTTACGGGCCGCGCTCAGCACAGGGGCATTCCGATCCCAAGCGGGGTCTGTAAGCACCATTGAAACACACACATCACTGTTCCTGGTTCCAGCACAGAGCATGAGCCCAAGAGGATTATATTCCTGTTTAGTTCTAGCGTTCATTGGTAAGGCAGGAAACCCCTGACGTTTGCATGCCAAATTCTGCATTCTAGCAGAGCGCCAGCTCTGATGTAGTTAAGGTAGCGAAGGCCGTGTTTAAAGGACTCTTCTTTGAAGGGCACCAAAATCCACAGGCTGGCTTGGATTGCCGTAAAATTTGGTATGCCGCATGGGGGTGCAGAAGAGGATTAGTGATCCAAATTTGGGGTCAGTGGAACAAGGGGTTCCTGAGATACAGCCCCCCCCATGCCATTGCCTTCAATCAGCACCACAGAAACCCATCCCATTGCACACGTGGCCTGCTGGGCGTTGCCCCCTTTGGGACCCTGGTTGCAGCAGCAAAGTTCAATGACAAGCTTCCAGGCCTCTGTCGGCCATTTCTAGCCCGCCCTTCCTTGCAGTCCCATCGTCTTCCACTGTCCAGCTCAGAAAGGGTTAACGAGCAGGAGGGGCAGAATCTGACGCCTTAAAACGTTTTATTTAGATCGGAAGAGGTTCAAGTCGAGGATGCTGGATAACTTGTCGTCACTCGCCCTGTGGCCCTTCCTGTCGGGCGATTCCGCGGGTCAGTCACCTGATTTGTATCTTGCGGTGGGATGGTAGCCTGCCCCATGCTGGTTGTGGCCAGTTGAGTGGTGCATAGGGCAGTCCCTCTGTACAGGAACCAGGAGATATGGGGGACAGGGCACGCAGAGCCCCTTGCGTGACGGAGTGGGTGAGTGCTTCTTGCGCACTTTGCACTATTGCCGGTCAGGTGGCCAGCAAGACCGGTCTCTAGCCGGGCTCCTGGGGGTGTTCTCCCTGGGGCTGGGCTCACAGGCTCCGTGTTAAAGGCTGCAGGCGACACGGAGCTGATCGTTGCTGGCCTAGGAACTGAGCTGAGTCAGCAGGGCTTTGGGCGGAGCCTGCTTGTGGGGTAATTTTACCTCCCATGTGAGAGAGGAGCTGTGCGTGTGTGTCGCTGTCTCTGACCGCATGGAAACCCCATGAGCTCACAGCTGTACCTAGACCTCAGGGAGGCAGCTGGGCCTAACGACATTACAGAGAGAGACATAAACAGGAAGTGCAGGGAGGTGCTTTGTAGGGCAGGGCTCTGTGCAGCGGCAGCTGATCATAATCAGGTGTTGATCCGGCACCGCACCAGATGCAGCGCCTCCAGCCGGGCAACCCACTGCCTCTCCCTCTGGTGGATCTCAAAGCACTTGCACATTGACTGGCCAAGCCTCCCATGGGGGACTAGAGAGGGGTGATTGTTCCCACCTCGCACAGAGGTGAGTGGACTAAAGGAGCCAACACAGTTTCAGGTCTTCCTTTAAAAAAAATATTGCCTGGCTCTTCCCCCACCCCTGTTGGATTCTTGCCTTTGGGGGGGAACGTCGGCATTGCTGTCTAGTGGGCTGAGCGCTGGACTCAGAGTAGGGCCCGGGCTAAGTGACTTTACCAAGGTCGCACAGAGTCACCGGGAGACCTGGGAATGGAACCCAGGCGTCCTGACTCCTAGTCACCCTACACTTAAGTACTGGATGTTATGTGACCTGGACTCGTGCACCAAGGCATGGAATATGTCGTGCTCCACATGCTGGGGAAATGACTCTGACATGAGCAATTAGTTAATTAACACAACTCAGCCACTAATAAGGGGAGGACAGATAAACAAGCACTGGTGCCATGGGAGAGGTAGAGAGCCCAGTGTCTGAGGCTGGTAGCAGCTGTCTCATATACGCAGGGCTCTGTATAGCTAGATCCACTGAACTTGTCCTGGGCTCTGCCTCTTGCCACAGATCTGTGGTCTAGAATCCCAACTTTAATATTTTTTGAAAAGCATGTTCCTGACTGTGAAGAGAAGCTTCCTGATTTTAATTGCTGGGGCATTTTCTTCCTGAGTCTGCACGTGGCCTGTGAGAATAGCTTAGAGAGGTGTGAACTCTCACATTAATAGCAATGGTGTGTTAACTCTGGAACCTACTGATATTCATTAAAATCTCAACACTATTAACTGTTCCACTGCTCATCGTTTTAGCAGAAACATCCAGCAGCACAGAGCAGGAAGTTAAGATGTTCTCTTGTGCCTGCAATAAGCAAGTGGGCAGAAGGGCTGTATTAGATTCTTTCTTTATGTGAACTCTCAAAAATGCAACAGTTCCCATTTTAACTTCATCGCTGTACTGAGCCTTCCTCTGCCTCAGCGCCTTCTAGTGTTCTCATGTGTGTACTGTGTTTGCTCCCACCTGCTCTAGTCAATAAGCTTTAGATACAACACATGAGCCCTGTGCTGCTGCTGCTGCTGACCCACCTTCTCAGAGAAGCTTGAACATATGATGCAGCAAATCCAGAAGGCAAGTCCAAAGAACCCACAATGACTTAACCATCACGAGTGGTTTTTCTTTTTTAACTACAATCTCTTGATTTTTGCAGAATTGTGAGCACTGGGGCTGGTAACGTTATTAATCTAGCAGAGAGAAAGAGCCGAGGGTTGGGAGCTGAAGTTAGGGGGAAAAAATCAGACTGAAAGGGGAACGAAGGCCACATCTCTCCCCGTGAAGGCAATAGGTGACGAACTGCTGAAATAGCTCCTCAAGGGATGTGCTATGGCTTCTTATTGCTTGTATTTTGGTAGCATCATGGGTGCTGGGCCTTGCACCCCACTGCACTAGACTAATGTCATGATTTCCAGAGGTAAAAAAAAAAAAGTCCTATCCAAGGAGCACTTGGATTTGACCCCAGGACCTCTTGAGCTGTAGTCAACTGTTCTACTACTGAGCTTGCCCCACTTTGTACGCAGGTGCTGCTGTGGTGTCCTGCCAAAGGTAGCTAAACCTGCATGCTTCCTTTGCACTGCAGCTCTAGGAGTCTGGGATATGAAAGAGGCACCGTGGCTCAGATCCTCAAAGGTATTTCGGCATCTACCTCACCAAAATACCTTTGATGTTCTGGGCCCTTGTGTTTTAATTACAGAATTGTGTATCCAGTGGAACTGTGACAAAGTGCTAAAGACCAAAATTCCCTGGTTTCACTCTAGGGCATCGAAACCCACGCGGTGGCGTGCTCCAAACCGCGCCCCCTCTCAATGCAGGCTCTCTAGGAGTCAAACTCTGCCTGCGGATTGCTCTGAACTGCATTTACCTGCACGTGCCGAGGGGGACAGCTGTGTTAGCCATGGGGCTACTGGATCTTTGTAACATTGAGCCGCTTTTCGGCTATGCCTTCCCTGATTAACAGAACTACTAGGCCTAACTTATTCGTTCGCAGCCCTGTAACACGCTGCATCTCCTCTGCTCACACTGCGCCAGACAGTCACTAGGCAACAAGGAGATAGGACTTATTGCCAGCTGGCCTTATGAACAGGTAATGTAAGCGGTACGGCAGCGGGGGAGATGTGGAACTCAGTGGTAGAGCATTTGACTGCAGATCAAGAAATCTCTGGTTCGCTTGCAGGTGCTACCTTCTCTCCTTTCCTGGGAGCAGCTAATGTACCTTTGTGTTGCTCTCCACACAAAGAGAAATTGAATTCTGCAGGTTCCGATAACGGTAATCAAATATCAGGCTTCCAATACTACACTGATTACCATGGGCGATATAGAAAGCAGTGTGAGGTCTCCCCATATATAATACACACCCAGTACAGCAAAGCTATACCCGTGCACACACAGGCTATGGGAGAATACAGCAATCACACACACACACAGCGATGTGCAGAAATCCAGGGCATTATTGCAGGGAACGGCCGGTGCTTTCAAACATCAGGTCATGTTATAACTCAGTGGTTTAACCTGGTGACTCAGAGCTGCCACTGATTAAAAGCCAGGCCCCTGAGTGCTGAAGGATCACACATGTTTATTTGAGAGCAGGTCTATGTACATGCTATTTACAGGGAATAAATACAGAGCTCTTGTCCTCAGGGAAGGATGCACAGTCACCTCGTCTCTACAGCAAGGGCTTCATGCATCTCCAGTCACTTTTATCCTGCCAATACTCGAACGCTTTCCTGGAGGGGACAAGAAGGGAGCGATCCGGGGTCAGAGGGTGAATAGGCTCAGAACAGGAATTTCTGTTCTGCCCTTCTCCTCCCCACCCTGGAATTGCACAGCATGCATTGGGGGTGGATGGGTATTATCCCCATTTTAAAGATGGAGAAACTGAGGTACAAAGTAGGGAAGGGACTTGCCCAAGAAGTCAGTGGAATAGCACCCAGAATACCTGCAAAATTCCCCTACTCTAACCA